TGACTGAACTAAGGATGTTACAATTCTGGATTGTAGAATGTCATGAATTATTCAATCCTACATCAATAGGTTAATTTGGGTGTGGATTCGCTAAGTCAAATAAAGCAAAACAGAAATGACCCCTAATCTTTTGTAATACAGCTAAACAGTAGCGGATACACGTAACAATTTATCTTATCTGTGTTATCGAGTATAGGATAAGGCCAAATTTAATATCCTCATAGTTTCGTCAAGCAAGCGTTATAATGTTAAAGTTTCGCTGATTTAATCTTCTTTAAAATTTTGCAATGACGACTTTTCCGCTCTCGATTATATTATGTTATGACAGCAGATACTGTGCCAAAATGATTTTACTAACAAAATGAAAAAAGTCGAATTTGGATGTTTCTTCCGTATTTCTTCCGTAGGAGCTGAGGAATTGCGTTCGCAAGGCTCTTACTCTACTTTATGATAATCACACAGTGTGATATAAGGTATGTATTTCCTTGCCAAAACATCAAGAACAGATAGCTGTATTAAATCCCGAACTGCAAAATGAGTCTTTAATTCTGGCTCATTTTGTTGGATGATTTGACACTTGATTATTTTTTTTATCGTCCTCAGAACACAATATGAACTTACTTTATGATGTAGAGTTACAATTGTTCATTGCGACTCAAGATAGCATTACTTTAGAGTCTTCTTCGGAGGTCACAATCAACTTGTTTTGAGGGAATAAAAATGCACATGCAAGGGAACGCAAAGATTGAAAATGGAGGGATCAAAAAGGGCCGTTGAAGAAGGTAAAATAAACGCGTTAGAATAAGCTGCTCTTAAGTTGGCCACAGAATTCGTTGATTTGACCATATTTTCCCGATTTAACTGTATTTTACAGAAGGCCTTGTATGATGTACTATATATTGCGACCTGTGCCATTGGTGTGATGTCCTCTTTTAGCCTTGTACTTTAATTTCAGTACATTTGCAGACGATGCCGACTCCATTTTGCCTAAATGACATGACACCATGACAACAGTAGCGAGATGCATTCTTCGAAGCCTCCCAACAAATAGGACAAATTCTCGAAAATGAGGTCAAAGCAATTCTGTGCTAAGCGACTATGCCTAATGTCACACAAATTTGGTCTTCCTATCTAAGATCTAGGGACAATAGACCTCCAGAACACAGAGCGCAGATCTATACTACCAGACTTCCTAGAGCTGTCCTGTCGATCAGACCAAGCGTCACCGACAGCAAGAATCCATGAAGTCTCTAGCTGAGATGCCAGGAAATTCTGAAACTGCCAAAAAGGCAAATTCTCTCTCGCTCCTATCGTAGAGTAAGCCGCACAGAGACAGGTTGCCGAATGGCTGAGCAAGTGTCAACGATGCCATAGCAGACGAGTTCTTGCGACAGGTCGTGAAAGATGCTTGTCTGGTGTGAGAACAATGTCTGAAGAGCTGCATTCCTGTCGCTGAATAGAGTACGCGTCAACATTTGTCTATGGAAGGTCATCGGATGCTAAAAAAGGCCGACAGAGGATTAATTGATGCTCGTAGTTACTAGGGTTCCTCGTTTAAAAAAAAAAACATTCTCCAATCAAATAGTAAAATTTTAAGGGCCTGCTTCTGCTTAAATAGAATGCATAATTTTTCCAACAAAATTTAGTATTCTATCTTTTCCCAAGTTGGCTTTAACAGCCAGGGGCGACAGCATCTTCCAGATTGTTTGTCAAAAATAAATCAAATTATTAGTGAACGAGTTCCAAACATTCTGGCACTAGACCCGACTGATATAGTACCGTCGAAACCCTGAGCAGATGCTAATACTAGGACAAGATGCACAGGACCAGGTTTGATGTAGAGCAGAACAAGTTAATTAAGGTTGAACGAGGAAAAATCACATAACATCTAAAATAAAGCAATCCATGTAAACTGATATGGCAAGAGCTAGAGTCCTAAACTGGTGCTAATTTGTGCATGCATGGAGGCTGGAAGTTTTTATTTAAATTTCCCTCAAAATTTACTAATAAACTCACGTTATTATTTTATGTTTATTTAGGTTGTTTCGGTTCTCTAAAAATGATTAAATCGGTGTATATTACAGAATCGTAAACTGACCTAATCGGAAACTTAGCAAGGTCTAAGGTATTGGGGAGCTTTTTGGAAATGGCAGGTGGAGCGGTATAAACTCCACAGCCACGATTGCAAAGAACCTCTTCTTCTATTTCTGACGAGGCCAAATTACAAATACCTTTCCTCTATCCTTTAAAATAAGAGCAATGTCATAGTACCATGACAGTTGTAACAGTCTATTCGAAACCCATTTTGTCTCTAGATTCACCGGATGAAAATGTTAATTTTTGCTGTTAAGACTGTATCTATTGAAGAGTACATCTGGATTGAGCTGATTTGAGGGCGAGCAAGATTAATCCAACAAATACCGTGAATGGATTTTCATGATAAGTGGGCTAAACAATGCACACGAATTTATTGAATTTATTCGCGTAGATATTAAGTTATGTATAAAAACGAAATTAGTTATTTAAAACAAGGGGTTGTTTACAAATTTCGCCAAGCTTCTCATGTGCTGAGCAAAGTTTGGGAATCCCATCTAAACAACACTGGAGTTGAAATACTTTTCTCCTCTGCTTCTTGGGTTTGATTATCCACCATCTCGTCTATTCAAAGCATCCAGCCATCCATTCTTCATGTATTTCAATCTAATAGACTTGTCGGTTGAGTCTCATCTTTCCAATCGCACAGGCTTAATCCGTGTGCTCATCCCCTCTGATCCAGATTAATATATACAAATTCCTTTCCTTTTTATAGTAGGTAACGGCAATAAACCGATGAAATTCGATACGAAATGACAGAAGTAATGGGTCTTTTTGTGATTACTTCATTCGGTTAGCCTTGAGCAAATTCGTTTTGACGAGAAAATAGGGCATACCATAATTTGTGTGGCCTATTGCTCAACGCCTTATAAGCAAATGAGGTCGCATCCACTTTGCTGCAGTCGAGTAACTCATTTTCAGCCAATAAAAATACACTTTTCTTTCTAATATACGAATTGTGTCTCATTTTCTCAGAAATCCCCAAGCCCCACCTCTGCCACCTATTTCACCAAATTTCGTTAATTTGTTCTTTCGTAAAAAGTATGTGGCATAAAAATATGTATTGAGACAATCAATCACTTGCCATCGCTCACCAGCACGAAGAAGTTATTATGTCACCTAAACTATAATTGCTTTTGGAGTTGGTATTATAATTGGGATTTTGGCAAAC